AGAACTGTCAAAGAACCTTTAGGGGGATGAGAAAAGCAGGAGAGATAAGGGGAAGAAGCTTTATGTGGTTTTAGGCAACAATTACATGCAAGGCCAAGTGCAGAGATATCATTCCAATTACCTCTGGGGAAAGCCATTCCAATAACCCAAGAACAGTCTTCCAGAGATTAGCAAGTATGAATCATTAGCACCATGATCAGGACCAAAGGACCTGCTCTGTATCAGTGACTGTTATAATACGTAATAAATTAGTTTCTTAACACGTGTCTGCTTAATTAAGCTGAATGGAATTAAATTATATTTTCCATACCTCCAAATCTTCTGAGTGATCATTCTTTTGATACCTTATAGAAGTTAGTACATGGTTGTGCACAAAACAGGTGTTAAACATTTATAAATTGCTTGATTTGCTTGATAGAACATGTAACATTTCTTATTTATTCTATCTTTATGCATGTTTAAATCCAATAGGCCAGAACCTGTTTTGTGGACAAAGGATGGTGGAGAATTACCAGATCCTGACCGAATGGTTGTGAGTGGTAGAGAGCTAAACATTCTTTTCCTGAACAAGACGGATAATGGGACATACCGATGTGAAGCCACAAACACCATTGGCCAAAGCAGTGCAGAGTACGTTCTTATTGTGCACGGTGAGTACTTTTTGACATCATTATTTGTGAAAGAATGAATCCCCTGAAAAACTGCTGAAATTTATCAAAATCTTCAGAATAATAAACAAATTTAAACAGATTTTCTTTTTCTTTCAGAAGGACTTATCATAAGTGTAAATACCTCCAAGATTCACTTTTAATATGTTCCTAGTCAAATTAGTAAAATAAAATTACAACAGACACTAAAAATGAAAATGATTTTTGTGACACCTTTTCTTTATTACAAATATGTTGTGTAATTTGGGATGGTGACTATTAAATTAATGGTTTTCTTTAAATTTTAAAATAAATGCTTTTAGTTATCAGAATTATGAAAATTATATTTCTTTTAAGTTAATTCTGATTGTAGGATCATAAAAATATACTTTATAATCATTATACCTGGTTACAAAGAATGATAGCATGTCACTGAGATGCAGTAAGGACAGAAATGCACAAGATTAATAATAACTGTGTTAATCTTTTATGAACAATAGTTGGAAACACCCACAGCCATTTTTCTCCTCTCCATTAATCTCACAATTTGAGTAAATATAACAGGCTGGCAGAAAGAAATACCAATACCCAAGGTTGAAAAGCATCTGTTTTTTCCAACCTCTAAAAGCCGCAATGTGTTGTTCATAAAATAACACTAACATATTATAAGATGGAGAAAACTTTTATGATACTGAAAAATACTGCAATAAACAAAGTTATGTTTCTTTATTACAGGACTTCTTAGAGTTTTTTGTTTGTTTGTTTTTATGCTAGGATACATTGTGAATCTTCCACAGAAAGAAGCATTAAATAATATAACACTTTCATCATATATCTCACCGAGAAAATCTTTTCTAAGACTAATGTAGTGTTCTACATAATATTACAGTATTTTGAATGAGTATTGTATAAAACACAATGCTGTAGTAAATTCATTGGATCTTAGAAATCATGGAGGCGGTATATTTATTGGATATCTTTCCCATGAATCTAATTATAGAATACTGTGAGAAACATGGGTTAGTTCTATATCTTTCCAAAAAATAATTTTGGGAGTAAAGTCTAATTCTTTGGAAAGAGATATAAACTTCAGAAAAAAATAATTTAGTTTGTGTTTTTTTTTCTAGGTATTTATTTTGCTATGGTGCATATCAAAATTGATTAAAAAATAATATGTTATGTTGATATTCTACTTACAAATTGCTTTAGTATATACAGTCTCTCAATTCTCAATACCACTTTGCTATCAAAGACAAATGAAGGCTCACAGTAAATAGACTATCCACAAATAAACATCTTGAAGATAGCAGAGCTGAAAGATTAATTTCTAGTATCTCATAAATTGTGCAAATTTTAACTTTTAGGAACGATCGACCTAATCAAATTATACTGATAAACTGGAATTAAATATGGTAAACCCCTGTAGACACACCCTGCCAGCTTTACTGTGAGAGAATATAACAACAACTGGGATATCAAGAAGATAAGTTAGATGCTTAGAACAAGATCCAAGAGTAGCTTTCAGTTCATGCTGACCTGGATGTTTATTTTAGATCATGCAGTAATGCAAATGAAGTATAGTCTGACTCACCCTTAACTTTCTAATGTTTCTCTCATCTAGCAGTTTCTAGAAACCTGGGGCATGTTTCATAGCAAGTCACATTGTGTCAAAAGCAATATGATATCAAATATATAGAATTAGAAGAGAATGACAGAAATAATATACTTAGATGAAAAGCGTGTCATTCGTTTTTTAAAAGTAATTTAAGTGAGGAAAATTCATGTTTTTGCAGTGTTTGCAAGCTAGCCAACAGCATTATATCCTTAGTAGCCAAGCTATCTTTAGGTAGTTGGCAGTTGACACATTTCTAATAAATACTTCGCTAAGCACTTTGTAAGAAGTCATTTTTGGTTTTGCTTTTTGAGCTACAATTCATCAAAAGCACCACATAGATTAATGCTATTCATGCTGCTAGATAAATGCTGTGAAGTTCAACAGTAGTTTACCTAGGATTATTGACACAAATAATGAGAGGCTCAATGAAACAGTGAAACCATGTTACACTGTGTTTAAAAGGGCTTCAATTGGGTTCATTACAAAATAAAGGTTTTTTTTTTTTTTTTTTTTTTCCTTTTGCACACAGAGTATAATGTTTCATTAGTCACTGGTTGTATAAATACAAAAAGCTACTCTCTTCTGTTAATGGTTTGGCTGTTTTAAAACCCTGCTAAAAAATGAAATTTGAGTGGCATTTCGATCTCTAATGAATGCAGTATGCATTTTGGAATGGAATGATAAGTGATCATTTGTGAGAACTTCACCCTTTTATCTTTTACACCAAGGTTGATTTTACATTAGCTGTGATAATTTAATATAGTTCTAGCACAGAAGGGCCTTTCATGCGCTGAGACCATGTCTTTGACACTACCATAGCTGCCTAGGTCCTACTGATTCCTAACTTGATGGAGGTCTGAGCATTTTCCTGTGAAATCATCTGCTATATAGATGCCATCTTAATAGTTAGATTTTATTTTTGGGGTGTCACTAGAAGTTCATTATTTAAATGTTATCACATTTAATTGTGAACAGCACTAACATTTTGTGTTTTGAACACTGGAGGAGTTCTCCTCGCTCCTTTCCTAATTACACCTTTGCAAATTTCAGCATTAGAACTATAGATGGTAATTTGAAACTGTTAGTTTGAAATTTCCTCTCAATGAAAGGCCTAAAAAAATTGATCATACAAATACTTATAAGATAAAACATTATGCTTATGAAACATTAGACTGTGGAGATTCTGTTAGCAAAGAAAGTAGAATTTTTTATTAACAGGTTCAGCGATGAAAAAATTAATCTGTTAAATTGCTAGTCATAGTTATACTATTAATTCCTGGAAGCACAATAGGTTTTCTTTCTTTCTTTCTTTTTTTTTTTTTTTTGCTTACATATAAAAATATTGAAATTATTCTCATGTTACTATTAATGTCATTCTACTTATTTAGAAAGGATGCTTACTTCCACATTAATGGTCTTAAAATATGCAGTCCCATTTCTGTTTTTACTATTTGGAGAACTCGAATCAAAAGAAAAATTTATTCATTTACCAAATAGATATTTAGCATTTATCCACTGAGTGTAAAGGCACTATATGAGCAAAGGTGAATAGCACTCAAGAAGTTTAGGATTTAACATGGAAGTAAAGTTAAGCATTCAAATAATTATAATACAAAAAATGGAAGAGCAGTAGGAGAATGGCTATACAATGATGTAGATGTTTAGTCTATAAGAATGTGTTCCAAGTGTCTGGAATTACAAAAACAAACAAACAAAAAGTAACACAACACTCCTGGATTATTCATAAACAAATGACATATATCATAAGTGGAAGTACCCAGCACAGTAGCAGGTATAGATATACAATAAATTAGACTATTGTTATTATTATATTACTAGTAGACTTATGATATCAAGGACAATATCAATATAATACTATTGTATGAAACTTACCAAAGAGTCACATATAATGTACTGCCTATACTTTTCCCTGAATGATACCCAGAATATAAATTAGTTTATCCCTATTAAAGAACAGGAAAGTTAAAAAATCTTTGTTAACTAAGCAATAAAAAAGATCTTACAAATTCAACAGTACAGCAAATTAGTAATAAAGAGAGAGCAGAATAAAAGTTATAATCACCCTTGTTTCTCTGATGCAACATCAACTTCAGAGGATTTAGATAAAATATAGTCTTCCCAAGCCAAAACTATCTGGATTTGCATCTTACAGAACAGAGAATGTAGCAGATACCTCTTTATCACACAAGAAATGGAGGAAGAGAATTATGAATGCCCTTAGACTAATCTTATTTTGTAGTGGAAACAATTCGAATTCTTAAATTAATTTGTCATTAACTGATTACAACAATATTATTTGAAAGCGTCAGAAACATATAGCACCTGGGAAATTTTGAGAAAATATCTATGGAGAGTGAGAAACAGAAATTACTACGTTCCCCCTAAATCCCGAACTTCCTTTTCAACTTTCCCAATGCCTTTTACCTCCCTTCACACTCGTGCTAAAGCAATTTGCAACCACTCTTCAAAATACAACAGAGATATTGAAATTCTTTAGTATCACCTCCAGCCTCAAAGGTCTCCTCAGGAATTGAGAATAAATTACAGTAATACAAGTAGAAAAAAAATGAGCAATTTATTTCTTCTTCTACCGGTAGCTACACTAACTATGGAAGGTGCAGATCGCGAAAGACAGTAACAGGGAGTTTTATTAGAACCTCTGTGGAGAACTCATTCCACTTAGGACCCAACTCAAGGTTGTCTCAGATAGTCATAACAGAGTGGACATGCACTATTCTAGATTTTTTTTAATGATATTTCCAATCTCTTTCAAATTTACTGTTCCTATTACCATAGTAACACTTATATGAGATTTTAAATTGTTTGCCACTGCTCTAACTTATTCCACTACTTTATTTTCTACTTGTATGAATACACTCTTATAATAATATTTATCTCATTATCTTAACTCTCTCTATTCTTATTTTGAATGAAATTGGCCACTATGCACCTGTCCACATTTTTGAGAGGTTTTTTTTTTTTTGTATGTCTGTGTTTTGCTTTTCTAGCTAATTTCATCTTTGTGACCATATAAAAACAAGTAAAATTCTCCATATCTAGTGTTATCATAGTAGAAAGTGAAATAGAATAAAAAGCTTGTTTATATTTCTGTAATGCCAATCAGTTTACTGACAGTTGCTGACTTGGTATTCCTAAAATATCACTAAATGTTATGATTCGTTTTGTCTATTGTTCATGTGTCTATTGAAATGAATACCGATGAAAAATGCAGTATTGCTTTTTGTTTGTTTGCTTCCAGGATAATTTACCTCAGATATAACACAAAAATTGAATAGGACTCATCATATTTTATTGTTAGTAACTAAGAACTATTAAAAAAAGAGTGGCTCAGATTTTTAATTTTAAT